CAACTTCTAGGACGGGATTTGTTGTCGAAATTACAAGCACAGATAACATTTCTGCCTAACGGAACGACATCCTTGAAGTTTAATGGACCCTCAGGTATCATGACACTATCAGTACCAAAGGAAGAAGAGTGGCGACTTTATACAGTGATGACAAGTCAAAACCCTAAGAGTGATGAATCCTTGTACAATATACCAGGAGTGTGGGCAGAAAATAACCCACCAGGACTTGCTCACAATATCCCACCTATACGCATCGAACTAAAACTTGGGGTTTATCCAGTAAGCCTGCGACAATACCATATACCTCAAAAGGCGAAGAAGAACATACAGTCTTATTTGGATAAGTTCATAAGGTATGGTATCCTAAAATTCTGTACTTCCCCCTGGAATACTCCATTGTTGCCTGTTCAGAAGCCTGGGTCAGATGAGTATCGTCCTGTGCAGGATTTGAGAGCAGTCAATGATGCGGTAGTAAGTATACATCCAGTTGTGCCCAATCCTTATAACCTGCTTGCCTTGATTCCGGGTGGGGCTACTTACTTTACAGTCTTGGACCTTAAAGATGCCTTCTTTTGCCTACGAATTGCTACAGAAAACCAGTGTATCTTTGCATTCCAATGGGAAGATGCTGTAACGGGCTCGAAACATCAGATGACCTGGACAAGATTGCCCCAAGGGTTTAAAAATTCACCTACCCTATTTGGATCAGCATTAAGTCAGGACTTATTAGATTTCAAGTCCATCCCAGGAGAATGTGTACTACTACAATACGTGGATGATTTGTTGATAGCGGCAGTTACTAAAGAGATATGCCAGCAAGCAACTTATGATTTACTGCACATTCTTTGGAAGGCAGGATACAAGGTGTCCAGGAAGAAAGCTCAGTTGTGTCAGCCAACTGTCAAGTATCTGGGATTCCATATCTCTGAAGAAAGGATAATGGGGCCTGAAAGAAAAGAGGCTGTATGCCAAATACCAACACCTAAGAACAGAAGACAAGTGCGAGAATTCTTGGGGGCAGCAGGCTTCTGTAGGATATGGATACCCAGTTATGCGATACTGGCGAAACCCCTCTATGCCGCTATTAAAGGCACGGAACATGATTCCTTCCTGTGGACCATCGAACAGCAGAAGGCATTTGAGGATGTTAAGAAGGCATTGATGAGCGCCCCCGCATTAGGTCTACCTGATCATACACGTCCATTCTACTTATATGTACACGAGCAAAGAAGGATGGCTGTGGGAGTACTGACACAGTATCTGGGATCATGGCAACGACCTGTTGCGTATATGTCCAAACAACTGGATGCAGTAGCCAGTGGTCTTCCTCCTTGTCTAAGGGCCATAGCTGCTGCCGCCCTGTTGGTAGCAGAAGCTGACAAGCTCACTCTGGGTCAGGAACCCTATGTGCGAGTCCCGCACGCAGTACAGACGTTGCTAGACTATAAAGGTAATCATTGGTTTAGCAATAGCCGAATGACTAAATATCAAGCCATGCTATGTGAAACTGTTAATGCCCTGAATCCAGCTACCCTTTTGCCACAACGTAATGAAAGTAAACATGATTCTGTATTTACAGAAGAAAATGAAGGAAAGGGACCTCAGTTGAGAAAAAGGATAAATGAGTCATTTATTACACGTGAGTTTACAGAGGAAGAGGTTCTATTTTAACTGTCAAAAGTAAAGACAAATAAGTCAATGGGACCTGATGGAATACACCCAAAGCTATTAAAAGAGCTTAGTGGTGTACTAGCAAAACCATTAACAGATTTATTTAACCAATCATTGTTAACAGGAGTAGTCCCAGAAGATTGGAAGTTAGCGAATGTTGTGCCCATTTACAAGAAAGGTAATAGGGAGGAGTCGGGCAACTATAGGCCAGTAAGCCTTACTTCAGTAGTGGGGAAAGTGATGGAAACCATGTTAAAGGATAGGATTGATGAACATCTAAAAACACATGGATATCAAGATCAGAGACAACATGGGTTTACTTCAGGGAGATCATGCCAAACTAATCTTATTGATTTTTTTGATTGGGTAACTAAAATTATAGATCAGGGTGGTGCAGTAGACATTGCTTACCTAGATTTCAGTAAGGCTTTTGACACTGTTGCACATAGAAGGCTTATCAATAAACTGCAATCTTTAAGTTTGGATTCCAATATTGTTGAATGGGTAAGGCAGTGGCTGAGTGACAGGCAACAGAGGGTTGTAGTTAATGGAATATATTCGAAGCTTGGACTTGTCACCAGTGGGGTACCTCAGGGATCTGTACTTGGACCCATTCTCTTTAATATTTTTATTAGTGATATTGCAGAAGGTCTTGATGGTAAGGTATGTCTTTTTGCTGATGATACTAAGATATGTAACAGGGTTGATGTTCCAGGAGGGATAAGCCAAATGACAAATGATTTAGGTAAACTAGAAAAATGGTCAGAATTGTGGCAACTGACATTTAATGTGGATAAGTGCAAGATAATGCATCTTGGAGTAAAAACCCAAGGGCAGAGTACAGAATATTTGATAGAGTCCTAACCTCAACATATGAGGAAAGGGATTTAGGGGTGATTATTTCTGATGACTTAAAGGTAGGCAGACAATGTAATAGAGCAGCAGGAAATGCTAGCAGAATGCTTGGTTGTATAGGGAGAGGTATTAGCAGTAGAAAGAGGGAAGTGCTCATGCCATTGTACAGAACACTGGTGAGACCTCACTTGGAGTATTGTACACAGTACTGGAGACCGTATCTTCAGAAGGATATTGATACCTTAGAGAGGGTTCAGAGAAGGGCTACTAAACTGGTTCATGGATTGCGGGATAAAACTTACCAGGAAAGGTTAAAGGATCTTAACATGTATAGCTTGGAGGAAAGACGAGACAGGGGGGATATGATAGAAACATTTAAATATATAAAGGGAATCAACACAGTAAAGGAGGAGACTATATTTAAAAGAAGAAAAACTACCACAACAAGAGGACATAGTCTTAAATTAGAGGGACAAAGGTTTAAAAATAATATCAGGAAGTATTACTTTACTGAGAGGGTAGTGGATGCATGGAATAGCCTTCCAGCTGAAGTGGTAGAGGTTAACACAGTAAAGGAGTTTAAGCATGCGTGGGATAGGCATAAGGCTATCCTAACTATAAGATAAGACTAGGGACTAATGAAAGTATTTAGAAAATTGGGCAGACTAGATGGGCCGAATGGTTCTTATCTGCCGTCACATTCTATGTTTCTATGTTTCTATTGTTTGGAGATAATGGATGAGGTGTTTTTCAAGCAACCGGACCTTCATGACTTTCCCATTCAGGACCCGGATGTACAGTATTATACGGGTGGTAGTAGCTATGTGAAAGAAGGAATTACTCGGCAGCAGGTTGTAGAGTTGGGTAAAACTATGGAGGAGGTACAGAAATGGGTACAAGATAGGTTACCTGTAAATATTTATCCACCTGTCCATTCTTACCATCCAGGAGACCAAGTTTGGATAAAGGAGTGGAACAGTGTACCGTTGGGGCCAAAGTGGAGGGGTCCTTATGCTGTTCTTTTGTCTACTCCAACAGCTATAAAGGTGGCAGAGGTGACTCCGTGGATTCATCACTCCAGGGTTAAACCAGCAGCAGATTCTTGGCAAGCTACTCAAGATCCTGAGAATCCCTGCAAGATCCGGTTGAAGCGAGTGACCCAGTTAGATTAAAAGTGTTTTTTGCGAAGAGTATTGTTACAAGGGAACATCAACAAAGATCTACAAGTAGGTGTTTTGACGGCCACAATAAAGCCTGACCACCTACCAACGTTTAAGCCAGAGGAATCCTCTGTGAAGAACAGTGAGGATCAGAAGGACTCCATTCCCTGCAGCCCTCACACGCCTGGAAGCTGAGGTGCCGTCGCACGGTCGAAGAATTAGGAAGAAGATGTCAGGAGTAATGTGTTTGATGATATATATATGTGTTTTTTTAATTATTCAGGAAGGTAGAGGTACCGACACACCAGGCTGCGAGGTTTGCATTAAGACTACGAAAACAGGCAATCGTATTTCCCAGACCCTTATTTGGCATTCGCAATATGAGTGCACAGGACAAGTATCAAAGTGTAGATACCTAGGTACAGATTATAGTGTATGCCATATAGGAGCAGGAGAACCTAGGTGTTTTAATCCTGAGTATCAGCCCCATACAATTTGGTTGACTATTCGGAATGAGAACGCACAGGGGAACCTGATAAATAAGACTGTACTAGAAAGCGTACATTCTCCAGGTGTTTTGCTATTTGATGCATGTAAGGCGATATCAGGTAGTAGGAAGCCATGGAATGTATGTGGTGGTCTTAAATGGAAAAGAACGTATGGGTCTAATGATAAGTATATTTGTCCTAGTAATAAGCATAAGTATATAGATCCAAACTGCCTAAATAAAGACTACAATTATTGTCCGTATTGGTCCTGTGTGGGATGGGCAACCTGGGGACAGACAGTAGATAAGGATATGATTATCACTAGATTGCCTACCAAGCCATATTGTAAGTCTATGGAGTGTAACCCAGTCCATATACTTATCAAGGACCCAGAGCTATTTATAGATAAGTTTGGGAATCTATTTGGGTTCCAAATATATGGAACAGGTTTGGATCCTGGGACGATATTATACATAGGAATAGAGACAGATACAGTGGTCCCCCAGACTCATCAGGTTTTCCATTCTTTTTATGAGGAGATGAGTGTGGAAGATAAGGTTCCCCATAATGCCAAAAACTTATTCATAGACCTAGCTGAGAGCATTGCTGGTAGTCTTAATGTAACCAACTGCTATGTGTGTGGAGGTACTAATATGGGAGACCAATGGCCTTGGGAAGCAAAGGAGGTAATGTATTCTGGTTCTGAGACAGTTGAACAACTGATATCTTCTAAATCTGATTATCAAGTGAGTGTTAGAGGTAAATCTGAGCGGCGATTAAAGACCTCCATTATAGGTTATGTTTGTATAGCAAGGAAATGAATAATGTTTAATACATCTGTAGGAGAATTGACTTGTTTAGGGCAGAAAGCCTATAATAACGATACAAAGGATACTATTTGGTGGTCAGCTTCAAATGTCTCGGAACCTACTAAACAATTTGCCAATTACACTAATTTGAAAGAGGTATGGTTTGATTTATCTGCTACATCCAATTGGAGAGCCCCAGCAAAATTGTACTGGATTTGTGGTAAGAAGGCATATTCGGAGTTACCACAAGACTGGGAAGGGGCATGTGTACTAGGTATGCTCAAACCATCCTTCTTCTTGTTGCCAATTGAAACAGGAGAGACTTTGGGAGTTAAAGTATATGATGTAAATCATAGGAAGAAAAGGGCACCCCTAGAGATAGGGGTACCTAGAGATACCTGGGAAGATGATGAGTGGCCTCCCCAGCGTATTATAGATTATTATGGGCCAGCTACGTGGGCAGAGGATGGTACTTATGGATACAGAACCCCAATATATATGCTTAATCGTATTATAAGATTGCAAGCAGTAGTTGAGATAGTTACCAATGAAACATCACAAGCGCTCAATCTCCTAGCGACGCATAACACTAGGATGAGGACAGCCATCTACCAGAATAGATTAGTTTTGGATTACCTATTGGCAGTAGAGGGAGGTGTATGTGGGAAGTTTAATCTAAGCAATTGTTGTCTTCAAATAGATGATGAAGGGCAAGCAATAGCTGAGCTTACTAGCCATATGGTTAAGCTAGCACATGTACCTACTCAGGTATGGAAAGGGTATAATCCGAGTAGTTGGTTTGGTAGTTGGTATGAGCAGTTTGGAGGAATCAAGGCATTGGTAGGTGGAGTCATACTGATTTTGATGTTGTGTCTCCTTCTGCCATGTCTGATTCCTTTGGTAATTAGGTCTATGCAGAGCATTATAGAAAGTATAGCAGAAAGAAAGGCCGCAGCCTAGGTAATGGCTGTTTGCAGGTATGAAGCTCTAGATCAAGGAGAATATATGCAGGAAGAGGAATGTTGAGGGGTTCGTATCTTTAGAGGATAGCAAAGTCTAGTCTGGTTTATGGCAACTTGAGGTGTAAGCAAACTATGATTGGTGATGCATCTGGAATTATTTTAAATCAGAAGCAAACGGGGGAATGTGATGGAATTCCAGTAAAATAAAAGTTTAGCAGGCCAAGATTGCCACAAGGCATATGTAGGTACATGTGTTTGTAGTATCAGTTAGTTAGTTACACGTAGCTAAGATACTGTCATCACTGTACTGAGCATGTGCAGGAATGCAGGAACTGGAATTACGCGTCCCTCTCCTTTGTTTCAGATGAGCCACGTGGTTAGACCGGATGGATGAGTTTAGACTCAATTCATTGATTAGGTTAAGGGTATGTGTGGGCGTAGCTAATTATGGGAGGAGCTACAGTGCTATATAAGGAATCTACTCTATGTATTCAGTGCTCAGATCTTTGCTGTTTTTGGTGACATAAGTCCCTCTGAGTCCCGGTCGGTGAATCGAATAAAGATCTCTTCCTTCCTGAAGAAACCTGTGTCCATCTCTCTGTGCTTGGCCTCTGTCAGTTTCCCGGTAACAATGCGATCTCAAAGGCAACATAACCAATCTGGCGATTTTCAATGTGAAAAAAACTGAAAAATGTAACATGCTATATTTGACCCTGTAATTTACCAAAACACCATAAAACCTGTACATAGGGGGTACTGTTTTACACGTGAGACATTGCTGAATACAAATATGTGTATTTTTTTGCAGTAAAAGCAAACAGTATTATGACATTCACAGTTAAAATGTCACGTAGAACTAATTTTTTTAAAAAATTCTTATTTTCTCCAATTTTTTTATATTTTATTCATCACACTTTGGAAGAAGGGCATTAGATAAGACACTTAACACTTGACCAATTAAATATGTATTCTCTCTGTTATCTTGCTTTCTGCATATGATGTATTTCTACCTTTATAAGGGGCTTGCCGTCCCCTGATTAAACATTCCAAAGTTTTTCATTAACCTGAAACCTGTGTCTCAGTGTGATTTATTTCAGAGCGTGCACGCTTTCTATTTAAACAATTTTGACAGGAGCAGATACTCAGATAAGCAAACACTTGGTTTGATCTAAAACAACAGCATACAGTAAAATAAACATGACACAAACCTTTCACCAATAGGAATAAAGAACAGGGCACAGGAGAAGAACTACAAAGCAACAAAGTGATTCCTTACACTAGTTCCCACCTCCCCCTGTCCCAATACACCATGACAACAAAAGGTTATCTTGATTGGACCCACTGACCCTTCAGAGCAATCTCTGGTTACATTAAACAGCCCTTTGCTGTAGTAGATAGACTAGCTGGCTCCCACAGCAGGTGGTCACTCACAGTGCAGCATTTAACTTGATTAGCCCACAGAATACATTTCACACCTAATTATACTTTATAGTATATAGAGCTGCTGCCCCCCTTTGTTGACCCATAGCTGCATATACAGACACACACACGCTGCTCTATGTATAGTACAGGTAAACAATACAGCAATAACCAGATGCATGGAAAACAATCACAAAAATTGATGTACATATGGACTGGATACATTGATATTTACTCTTTTTATGTATAACATATATCGTATTTTTTTATTGTAAAAATTATTGTTATTGTAAAAATATCTCTTTACTAAAATATATTTGAAAAGAATGACAGATGGATCAAGAAGGTATTATCCCACAAATTAAAAATGATATCCCATGAATATTATGTTTTTGCAAGTATTCATCTAGTTGCTGTGAATACATCTGTATAGACTCTGATGAAACCACTTCTTCAGGCATAGACTTCCACATCCTTATTGTTCTTACTGTAAAATTTTTTTTTGCCTTAGACTAAACCTCCTTTCTTTAACCCCTTAAGGACCAAACTTCTGGAATAAAAGGGAATCATGACATGTCACACATGTCATGTGTCCTTAAGGGGTTAAAAGGATACTTTAAGTGACAGAAATATAATTCCTGGCACTATTGGTCGCTCTGCCTCCCTCTCCCTTGCGCCCCCCTAGCCCAAGCCCTGGTACACAATCACTGTGGGAAGACTTAGAGCTGTATTGTAAACTTTGCAGTTTCTCTGGAACTGCAATGACAAAATATTGCAGCACTAAATGCAAATGGAACACTGCACCCAGACCACTTCAATTAGCTCAAGTGGTCTGGGTGCCTACAGTGTCCCTTTAAATGTGTGACCTTGTGTCCTATGTATAGACCTGTTTATGAATCAACTTTCAGACAATGGTTTATATTGGCCCCAGCTATATTTGTATAATGCTATCATATCCCCTCTGAGGCACTATTTTTCTAATGGTCATAATCAAAATGTTCCGTTCCTTTTATTAACTTTGTAGCCCACCTCTGCACTTTTTCTAGTGCCATAATATCCTTCTTTAGGACAGGTGCCGAAAATTGCACAGAATATTCGAGGTGTGGTTGATTAAGAGACAAAATTATATTTTCATCTCGAGAATTGATGCCCATTTTATACACTATAATACCTTTTCAGCCTTAGCAACTGCTGATTGACATTGCACTTTGTCGCCCGATTTGTTGTCTATAACAATTCCCAAATTCTTCTTGTGTGTTGTTATCCTTTATTACCACTACTGTTTAGTGTATACGTTGCTTTTGTATTTTTAACCCGAAAGTACATAACTTTGCATTTACGTACATTACATTTAATCTGCCATTTTAAGTTCCCTGTCCCCAATCTATCTAAATCTCTCTGCAGCAAAGTAAAATCCTGCTCATATTGTATTACTTTACAGAGTTTTATGTCATCTGAAAACACTGAATCATGATTTTAAATGCCCATTTCAAGATCATTTATATATGTTAAATAGAAGCGGTCTGAGGGACACAACTTACCACTTTTGTCCATTAATGACAACTCTCTGTACGCTGTCTTTATGTCAATGTTATACTGAAGAATAGTGATGTCGCGAACCGTCCGCAAACTTCTCGCGACTGGTTCGCCGTGGTTCACCGCGAACTGTTCGCGGCGAACTCCGGTCAGCTGACACATCCCGGCCAATCTCCGGCAGACCCTCCCTCCCAGACCCTCCTACTTCCTGAACAGCATCCATGTTGAAGGACGGTTCGCAGCAATCTCGTGAACCGTTCGCGAGAAGTTCGCGGACAGTTCACGACATCTCTACTGAAGAACAAGAATTTCTATCTAGACCAATTTCTAGCATATTGTGTGGAACCGTATCAAATGCCTTGGCAAAATCCAAGTAGATCACATCCACTACAACACTCTGATCCATACTTCTACTTACTTCTTTGTAGAATGCAGCTAGTTTGACAGGATTAGCATAAAAACATGCTGATTTTTGCTAATAACATTGTCATTCCCAATGAACTCATGAATATTATCCCTTAATAATCCTTCAATGCTTTCTTAGTCACAGAAGTTAAGCTCATAGGTGTATAATTTCCAGACACAGATTTTGAACCCTTTTTGTATATAGGAATCACATCTGCCTTCCTCCAATCCTCTGGTACAATTCATGAAAATAAAGAATCCTTCAAGATGAAAAACAGAGATTTACTTATTTCCACATATAGCCCCTTAAGTACTCATGGGTGAACACCATCAGGTCCCAGAGCTTTTTTCACATTAACTTTCTTTACTTGCTGGCTGCAGCACCTTTTCTGCAAGTTTATTTTGGCAATCATTTGCATATCTCTTACCATAGTTTCTTACTTAATATATACTGAGGATAAGTAGCTTTTTAAAAATTGCTGAATCAAGATATGCCAATTTTCAGATGGGCAGGGATGACGTGAGCACGGGTACGTAGAGGCGTGCTGCGATACAGGGAAACCTGATGAGGGAACGTCCTAATGGATAAGAAATATACCCAAAGCTATCACTACAGAGGGTTTAGAGCAATATCTGCTAGAATTCCTTAGAGCTATGGGAATTATAACCAAAACCTCTCAGGTGATGGAAAGGTTCCATAGACTACCAAAACCTCCATCTGTACCCGAAACATCTCCCAGAGATGTTATCATAGCCCTTTCAACCTATAGAATTAAATCTTTATTAATGAAGGCTTTCTTGGAACTTAATCCGAAACCTGAGAAATTTAAAGAACTAGAGTTATCTACCAAAAGGCTGAAAGACCATAAAATAGGGTCCCCCCTCCCAAGCCATCACTCGCGACACGCAAGTGGGGGCTTTTAAACTAAAGGGGGGACCTATTGCCCCCCCCGGCCCCCACCCCTGAGCGGCGGGTGGGGGCCCTAAAGTAAAATGATG